ACATGCCAAGATGCCAAGGCGTGGTCCTCGATGTGTCAAATCGGCACAAAAACCCGGCCCCTACACACCCAATAGCCCGCCACGTGCGCTGTTCGCAAAAGTCGACATCGATTTTAATGTTTTTGCATTTATTTGAGTTCGAGTTTAAGCATAGGAAGATTCCGTGCGGTCTCCATCCAAATGCTTCCGACGGACAGGTGGAAAGTTATTCCATCCAATCACAGCAGATGTTCGTTGGCTCTTTCAGGACTTAAACTGATTTTGGATTTCGATTTCTGATCTTGATTCTGTCGATAAGACACATCCTAACGGGCCACACTTTTCACAAAAAAAAAACTATTACAATATATTGATTGAGGTGTTGTTGTTGACTTCACATTAAACCGTATGCCAGTTGCTAAATGCCAAAATCTAACGAAGACTCTCGGCCCGTGGTGACGAAAGTGCTAGAGCCATCTGAGGATCTAAAAAACACGCACACGTGGCAAGAAAAAGGTGTACAAGAGCCCGAAGAGGTACTACTACACCTATATATAATCCCTGCAGCACCGTACGCGTGCCCAAAACTGAACTACACGTCCGTCTCACCGTTCGACTACAGCAACATCACCCCCTACCTGTCCCCCTCTGTACCAAAACGAATGATTGCCGACTACAGCATACTNGGGGGGCGCCAATCAACGTGATATGAATGTTGTGCATCTGAATACCCTACTAGATCGGGAGGTGGAATAGTTTTCTTTGGTTCAAAAAAATACCGGCATGCTTGAGCCCGTCCTCAAGAGAGAGAGGCCGCTGCTGCTGCTGCTGCTGCTGCAACCAAATGTTGATCTCTCCTCTCGCTTCCTCCGCCGATAGCTAACAGCAGCAGTGTATGGCACACCCTTCTCCCGCCGCCTCGCCCTCGCTGTGGTCTGTGTCTCCCTCTCCCTGTTTGTCCATGCCTGGCTCTGTGTGTGTGGTGTGTGGTGTGCGAGGCTATCTATCTGGGGTGAATACACGTCCCACAATCCGCCTCCGCTGCACAGATAATGCGGCCCGCACACTACGCGCGGAAACCCCGCCCAAATATGTATAGATACAAGACCCACTCTGAGAGGCCAGCCAGGAAGAAACAACTTGCTGGACGGAGAACCCAGAAGTAAAAGTATGTCTACGAAGCTGGCATCCTGTCAAACAAACCTCCTCACTTCTATCCTGCGGTTCTTATTCGTCTTGAGGGAATGGGATCTGCACTCGCCCCTTGTGAAAGCACGTTCTTATTGGCGGAGGCTGAGGACCCGCTGGATGCACCTGATGTTGTTGTTGTTGTCTTCACAGTTAAAACCGTTCCGATCTCTCTCTACCCAGTACCTTCGTATGTCCGTACTGATCCAACACTCGACGCGGTCGATTCCCGTGGTCGCAGGCTAACTTACCCTCACTGCTCAAAAGGTACACTCAAATAAAATGGCCCCGAGGGGTCCGCAAGTCAATAGAAATCAACGACAGATATTCTGGAATCCTCCACTCCCTCTGCGCGCTACCTGTGAGGGAACCTGAAGTACCACCCACAACCGTGAAAAACATCGTCCCGGCTTCAGCTCCAACGGCCCGAGTTTCACTCAATTGGACTCAGCTGTAAGACGGTCTACGAGCTCTCATCTCTACCACGGATTCTCTTCCAATCAACGTTATCCCCCTGCGATACTAGCCTATGCATCAGAACCCACTTCAGCTGCATGGGCACAAGCTCAAGAGCAGTATCGAGAATGGCAGCATTCGGGGGCTCCGATACAACGCCAGCAACCAAACGGTAGAGCTCGAGGAGACGCCAAATGCAAGCGTGAGGGAAGCTAGAGCACCAGTCAAAACCACGGGCAAGACAACCCCAACGACGAAAGCAGCTACAGCCAAGGCAGAGCCGTCAAACCCTGGCTCGCCCGATTGGACGCGCCTCTCAAGAGACCTACGAGCGTTGACAATCGCCCAAGGGCCACTCTCACTCTCTGAAGTCGCCCGGGCGTACATGTCCAAGTACAACAAAGATCTCAACTTGCGTGGCCACGGTGTGAGAGCCAGTCTCGTCAATGGTGACCTGCATGGGGTCCGATACAACGCGAGCACCGGTAAGCTCGAGGTCGACGCCACGCGGGGGGGGGCTACCCGGGCAACGAAAGCGCCAGCCGCACTCCAGCCGGCAAAGCAGCGAACCCGGAAAGAAACTGCCGTAGCAAAGCGCCATGCTGCCGTCGAGGGTCAGACACGACCCGACTCGGACGTTGGTGAACGCCAACGATCGGCACCGGTCACAGAGGAGACTTCTGCCCCGACCCAACCCCCCTACCTCCTGATCGACAGCCCGAGTTCTTACATTGCGGCGCTGGCCACCCTTTCTCTCGACGGAGCTCTCGGTCGCACCCTGCAGCAGGTCTGCATGGGGAGCACGGTAGTAGTGCACCTCAGCGGGCGCCAGCTTGGGGCTGCAAACGGATCTATTTCGCTCATCAAGGTATGCTCTCGGGGAATGCATGTTCTTTGGAGTTGTTTGTTGAGGAGGTCGTGAATCGGGTTTGCAGCATGAAGGACGGTAGTCTTCTCCCCTATCACACGGTCCCATGGTTCCGCACGCTTGAATTTTCGGGTTCCGTAGATGTGTTTGCCTCGTCAACATGGAAGACGTAGCAGGCTGAGTTGGTGAAAATGTGTCAAAACCACGTTCGTTTTTCTCCCGATCGATGCTTCCGAAGAGACGAGATTAGTAGGCATCCCCCGGTTGTGACGACCACGTCGTGTTACGTGTTTTTCTCTCCGCTCCTGTGTTTTTTTTTCGAGGATGATTTGAACGCACCTGCCGTCGAGCTGTTCAGCTTCCCAACACCCAGGGATACCTTGAGACTGAAGACTGCAAACAGCCGTATGCTTTCCTACCCTGCTAAGCCTTTGCCCAAAACGTCCTGTTTCTGCAGCTGCAGGTCGTGGGAACAATGTCGCATCCGCCGGTCCTCTTCGACGTTGTCGAGCTCAGCAAGACCGAGGATCACCAGAACATGTTGCGGAAGAAGCTGTCCCCGCTGTTCGCAGACCAGCGGTCGACCAAGGTGAGTGCAGGCAGTCTACGTCAATCTTGTGTCGAAGGAATACAATGAGAGAACCATCCAATGCCACTTTTGTCCATGGTGATGTCCCTCGGGGAGGGAGGCGTATTCATGTTTTGCCCGCCGTAGTTGTTAGACCACTGGCCACGCGTCCTCGAGAGGACGGGGCATTGTTCCCACAGGAACGATCAACGATGGGCAATCGTTTTGCCAAAGGTGGCTCAAAATGCTTTCCGCCGCTCCAGCCCACTTCTCTCATACCAGTATAGATACCATCTCCTCCTGGCTATTCCATGTTCAACTGCTCTCTGTGACTCCTTTCTGATTTTCCCAGCTCACTCACGAACATTTCTCCCTCATGTTTGTGAAACTAACATTTTGCAAATAAAAAGAACCCGTCTTCGTACTCGAAGCCGTGTTCACCCTCGAACTCGTCGAAGTCTTCGTCTACCTTCATAACACTACTTGTACGTTTTTGAAGGCCAATGTCCCCGGTCATAGTTTTGATTTTCAGCTTTGTCCCTGCATCCATTGATCCATGTAGGTGCTCCTTGAACCTCCTTGTTTTACATTCCGTACACATCTAGATCCTTTATTCTGAGTGTCTTTGGTTAGATTCATTCCCTTCTTGTCTGTCTACTACAGAAACAGATATCTTCTTCTTGAACTCCTCTGGGCGTACCGTTTCCAACGTATCAACTTCTTCAATTTCGAGCCTTTTTCATACGTCCTCTACAATTTTAGCCCGCTCAGTGATCCGTGTACCTCTTGCCTTGCTTTCGCACTCCGCCTCCCAAGCTGTTTTCGGCAACATCTCCTTTCCCATATCATGCACACAATACTGTCATTTTAACTTCCTTGTGGCCGTTCCTCGAGGGGGGGGGGCGTACTCTTTATGTTTTGCATGCCTTAGCGGTTAGACCATTGACCACGCGTCCTGGAGTGGACGGAGCATTGTTCCCACAGGACCGATCACCGATGGCCAATGGTTCCTTTCTACTTTGCCAAAGGTGGATCAAAAATGTCTTCCCTAGTCTGTCTATCCTAACGATATCCCTTCCCGCCTTTTCAACCCACCTCCTACGCCCCAGTTCAGCTACCGTCCTTTCCTCTATATTCCATGCCTCAAACATCTCCCTGTACGCCCCCATCTATTTTTCCCAGCTCAGTCACGTACACTTCCCTCTCCTTCTTGTACAACGGACATTCCGCGACTACATGAACATGGTCTTCGCATTCGAAGCCGCAATCACATTTGAACTCGTCGCCTTCGTCGTCTACCGTCCTATGTCTTCGTCGACGTTCTCGAAGGCCTATGTCCCCGGTCCTGAATTTGACCTTTAGCTTTGTTCCTGCATCCATTGGTCCATGTAGGTAGTCCTTCAACCCTTTTCCTTCAACATTCCGTACACTTCTAGACCCTCCTTATCCTTGGATTCA